AAATTTAAAATACTGTTATACTTTTTAACATTATTTTAATGTAAAAAAAAAATTATGGATGTTTTATAAAGTTAGTCATTTTAAATTTGTTTTCAATTTAAACACACTTTTTTTTTTCATTTGAACGATCAAGATGTGTATAAATCAGCTTTTATATATTTTAAGATTAATTTTTTTTTAATTTTCAAAAATGCTCTATATTGACTTATTACATTTATGATAATTAATTTTTTTAAATACTAATATCAAATTTTAAATTATAAATATAATTTATAAAATAACAGTTACTTATTATTGAATTTAACTTGGCTGGATTCCAAACAGATTCTTGTTATTAATACTTACATGATTGGGCAGTCTCGTTGAGTTTCTCCACAACCGCTTCCATACCCGCACCAGCTGTCGCAAACGGGTTTCCCATGACCCGGAACGCATTGGACTTGCCCGCCACAGTAACATGGGCCCCAAGGCCTTCCGCTACAGCATTTACAATAACAAGACACCTGGGCTTTCAGATCTACAGATACTCTCACATGCTTTTCCTTAGGCGAAGGCGGAGGCGGAGGCGGAGGCGGAGGAGGAGGCGGAGGCGGAGGCGGCTCTATGATCTCAATGCTCTTGATGCATCCACCACCCTTGCAGCATAACTTGTCCCTCATCTTCTCCGGTGAGCAGCACACCACCTTAATTGTCACCTTGTTTGCCTTCTCATCATACTTCTGATCTCGTATTTCTTTAATTAATTTGTTCGCAACACAACGACTCAGTCCATCTGGCTAATCAATTCATAAATTGATATACGTATATCGTCTGCACAAAAATTATATTTAACAAATTATATATTAATTAATTAGGACAGAACAATATTAATTGAGGAAAGGGAGTCATCACCAGGAAATTTGCAGAGAAGTTTTTTGATCTTTTTGTAGCATTTTGAGCATTGTAGGTCCACCACATTCAGCACCATTGTTGTCACCTGTAAAAGTATATATATATATATATATGCCATGCAGCATCATTATTAGACAAGGAATTTAATTTCAGAAAAAGGATTAATTATGAGCAAATTAAAATTAGGGTGCCATATATATATGCATCAAACCAAAATACATAACTATATATATATTATATATATCCTTAATTTTCATCAAGAGAGAGAGAGAGAGAGAGAGGTATAACAGCCACATAAAAGAAAGAAAAAAAAATGGAGTAGTATAAATTTAGCACAAACCTCCTCGGCCATTGCTGCTATATGGAGAAAATTAATTAAGGCAAGCTGGCTTTTATTGAGTAGAGCGGGCGAGGGAGGGGTCTCTGGTTTGACGCGCTAACAGTAGGCAATTGTACTCGTCCACGTTAGTTTTTCTACTAGTGGGTCCGATCGGGCCAATCTCTTTCTTTGCACGTGCTGCTTCTTATTAATTTTACCTTTTCAGACAAAGCTAATCAAAATCCTTCCTCAACCGCCCCAAAAAATATTAAATTATATAGCAAAATCCTAAACCACACGCATAGGTAGAGCCAGAAAAATAAAGTGGGGAAAGAATAGTTTGCTCTTTGCTCGCCATGCGGCTGTTTAGAAAATGATAGCAAATAAAGGTACATAACAAATTTCAAAAAAACCTAGTACATAATAAATTTAAAGAAAAAAAAGATAAGAAAAATGTAAAATACAAATGATCTTTATTTAAACCAAACGCAAACACTCTTACAATTCTTAATTAAGACATAAAAGTAACATACATTTCTGGTTATAAACAAATTAAATTATCCCGCGCATCATACATATATATATATA